GTGCGTAGCTAACTTTATTAATATGGAACGGAGGATATGACTGAGCAGACGGCAACGTCCAGCGGTCACTGGACCAAAAGAGTCCAAGAAATCGTGCTCTCGTTTTCTGCCGATTCCGATTGCCCTTTCGTAGTCGCCGGAGGTTCGGAAAATGCCCCTTTTCCGATCGTCTCGTGTCTTCGCAACGACCTCCTGACGTACCTCAACGAAAATGACCGCATTTCGAACGGATACATTGTTCTGGAGGTTCAGGGCCGAAAGATGGCCGGTCTGACAAGCTATGATGCCCAGAAATGGTTGAGAAATTGCTGCGTTCGCGGATGACCAATGGCGATCAAGTTCGTCCGACCAGGTAACGAGAGTCACTGTAATATATTCAACATTATTTATTGTGTATCGTGCGTTGTCTCCCTCTCTGTCTGTGGCAAACTAACCTTTTTAGATGACAGATCCTTCTTCTCTCGTGTCTCCAACTGCACCAGGAACATTGCTCTGGGGTCGGCTCTAATCATAGCTAAAAACAGCTGTGCCGATAGTATTTAACACGATCATTCTACTTCACGTTTCTGTGGTTAGCAGTGCGAAGAAGTAGCCTTTCACGTACTTGACTAACTTTTCGATCAACCGCACACTCATCATCGTATATGCAAAGTTTATACTATATATACGTGTATATACTTTTTGTCAAATCTCTGAATTTACACGACTTTGTTTCACCGTTCTTTTACTTGTATTAGCATAGGGGACCGTGTAGGCAGACCATGGCACTATAGTATTTTAGCACCTGCATTTTATGGATGCAGAACCGCATCATAGGTCCGGAGAATTGATAGGCGTTGGTCACTCCTACATGCGTTATCCGAACCTAGCAGGTTAGTTACCGTGGTAGCCTACGGATGGTGACATCTTATGGATGATCGATAGGTGTCCCAACAAGTTTGTGACCAGCCTGCTCGCTTCTGCGGTTTTTGATCCATGCAGTACACGTGCTAAAGTACCATGGTGCCATGGCCTGCTTAAACTGCCCCCTGGGCTACAAGAAGCTAGGGGCAATGCATCTACGCCTGTATATCCAGAGAACTGATAGCAGGATGTTACTCTTAACTGGTAGTTTTCTATTAAACCAATAATGCGGAGGTTATTTTGCTTATTTATATATTTACATGCATATTAAGATAGCAACGTATATAGTTAATTCACCTGCAAAATAGAGATTGTGCCGATGTGTAGTGCTTCCGTTCTGTGTTGTTCACATTGGTGTCTTGTAGGATATCATTAATCTGGGATAAATGTAGCTGTTAAGGCCGTTTTCCAGGCAGACAGATGGCAGAGAACTACGATGACATTAGTTCGTATTGAGTAGACGATTTGAATTATGTAGAACGCACATAATCATGTTTTGGGCTCATTAAGTGGAGTATATTCCTCTGATTTTCTCACATTCTCACAGTTGTAGTTTTGGCCTTCTTTACACTTAATAGATAAGGCAAATTCTAGCGCCTTTGTTTTTATGAATTTTGTGAAAGCGCACTGGTCTC